AGAAGAGTCCACACAGGAGAGAGACCTTTCCAATGTCAGGAATGTGGGAAAACATTTACACAATCAAGTCACCTCACTGAACATAGAAGGATTCATTCAGGAGAGAGACCATAGGTGTTGCAGGCAGAGGGTAAAGTATTTTTATAATTATTAATAATGAGACAGGCTACCAGGAATGATTTAGAACAGAGAGTGTGAAAAGCAGGGGGCCAACAGTTCTCCACTGAAGCCCCCCAAGTCATGCTTCCTGAGTATTTATGGAGAATCATAAGGAAGGTGAACAAAGTAAAATCATAAGGAAGGGTAAAACAAAAACAAGGGCTCATGGGGAAGTCTTTTGCAGATGAGGCTCTCTATTGTTTACTTTATGCTCATCTCAGGAGGGAGGGATTCAGTCACTACAAACTAAGAACAATGGTGGCTCTTAAGGAATGGCATAGTGTCACAGGGTAAATTCTAGCTTCTGTTAAGCCTCTCTCATCTCCTGATACAACACTAGGCTTATTATGAACATTAAATTTTATATTCTGCTTCCTACACTTATGAATGTCAGGAATGTGGGAAAACATTTTGACATTCAAGGCGTCTCACTGTACGTAGAATTCACCCAGGAGCAAGACCTTATGAATATAAGGAGTATGTGAAAACCATTTCAGTGGCAGGTTACCTCACCAAACATTAAGATTCACAGAGGCGACAGACCTTAGGAATAGAGATATCAGTTTGTCACCTTCAGCCTAACTGTCCTTACACAAATTCCCACAGGGGGGAGACCTTCTGAATGTAAGGAATGTGGGAAAGGAGTTTGACAATCAGTGCCCCTCATGGAAGAATTCACCCTGGAGAGAGAGAGATCTTAGGACTGTTACAAATGTGGGAACACCTTTTCACAATTGAATCACTTCAGTACATAGAAAAATTCACACAAGAGAGAGAACTTAGGAATGGAGGGAATCCTTTTGTGAACCTGGTACACAAACTATCCCCAAAGAGTTCCCCCAGATAGACCATCTGCATATAAGGAATGTGGGACCACCTTTCCACAATCAGATGGCATCAGGACATGCAAGCATTCACACAGCACAATACTCATATGAGCAACGTAGGACATAGATGATTCGTCTGTCCTGCCTGGACATATTTATACTCACCCTGCAGGATCCTCCACCCTCACTGGACACCCGAGAACTTAGACTAGATAGACAGATGAAGAAGACAATTAGGAGTGATTGAGTCTTCCTGATCATGTCCTATAGGAGAACTGTTGTTCTGTCTTGCAAAGTGAGATAGTTGCAGAGGTTTTACGATTTTTTTTTCCGTTACGTGTGTGGGAGTCCTTCAGTGATGGTGAAAGCTGGGTATGTTTTTGCACCATTGTAACAAATTGATCATTGTATCTGCCAATGTGGGCTTTTGCACTCAATATTTATTGTTTTCTTTTTTGCAAGGTAAACTTTTACTTTGTTAAAGGGATAATGTCTTTGCCTCTTACCCAGAACGATGCAGAAAATAGAAATGGGAAAATACTATTTATCAATTTTCAGTTAGTGATTGATATTTTCCATGCAATTAATAAAGATCTCACTTGTACAAGAAAAAAAAACAATAAAAATCTTGGGGGGAAAACCCACTGGGCAAATTTTCTTGACCTTAGAGTTGGCAATGGTTTATTTTTATTATTATTAATATATATTGTGGTTGATACATGTACATTACATTCCATGTAGTCCTTCATTTACATTATATTTTGTTCATTTATATTGTGGGTTTTCCCCCTCCCTTACAATCATCCTCCCAACAACTACTTTCATGAAAGTGTGTAAGCTAGCTCTTTGACGTCACATTTCATAATATCCGCTCTCAGATAGCCAATTGCTGATTTGCACATCCCTATGAAACCAGTACTCGAAGGTAACAATCACAGCCTCTTGCTGATGGATCTTCTGTCCACCTGGAAACTTTAAGTGTCTGCATCCATAAGCAACATCCAGTCCAGAGCGAGCCATCAGATTACAGCAGCCAAGCCTAGGCAATGGTTTCTTAAATATGAAACCAAAACGGTAATTAACAAAAGAAAAAATCATTACACAGGACAAAGTGGGTATCAAAACCCAAAATATATCTTTATACTTCAAATAGCACCCTTAGTAAAGTGGGAGGGGATGTCTATACACAAAGTAGAAGAAATTTTGAAAAAGTAAATTTTATAAGTAACTTGATCTAGACTATTGAGGTGGCATACTCTGTCGTGAGTTGCACTGCTAATCCAAAGAACTGAACCCACTAGACAGAAACTCCATGGGTGAAAGAGAAGCAGCCTCCTTCTGTAAAGATTTACAGCTTGGGAAACCCAGTGGAGGCTGACCTTAAGCTAGAACCGGCTCAGTGGCAGTGGGTTTGGTTAAGCACATGCAAAGATACTCAACATCATTACCATCAGGAAAATTTAAATTAAAACCTTATGAGATACCACTTCACACCTCCTGCTGTTACTAGGTGCCATGGAGTCAGTTCAGACGCACAGTGACTCGATACACAATAGACTGAAACAGTGCCCAATCCTGTACCATCCAGATAATTGTTGCCCATTTTGCCAGTTATACTGTTATTGCTGTTGGTAGGTGCCATCGAGTAGAGGATGACTCTAGAGTAGAGCAGGGGAAAATTCAGAGCTTTGTTCATAGGGTTGCTATGAATCATAGTTGACTTGATGGCATATAATAACAACAAAGATAAGTTAAGAAGCTTTGGTGGCCTTGTGGTAAGAAATTGTGCTGCCAATCTGAAGGCATGCAGTTCAAATCTGCTAGCTTCTCCACAGGAGAAAGGAAATCTCTTTCTGTGTGATCAACTGCCTCTAAAAACCCATTGGAAGGCCAGCTATAAATAATGAGAGTATGACAAGGTTAACAGAGCTCTGGTGCCTAGTAGGACAGGAGTTGTGCTGCCAACCCAAATGCCAGGCGTTCAAATTCACCACCTGCTTCATGGAGGAAGATGGGCAACTTTCTTCCATGTGATTTACAGTCACTGAAAATCTGCTACAGTGTTAGCTTTAACACAGTTCTGACTCAACAGCACATAATAACCAGGACAAGATTTCTTCTCAGAGGTATTTATTGGGGGAAAGATGAAAAAGAAAAAAAGATGTGGTATGTGAATATCTCCCTCAATCACTTTTTGAAAACTAGATTCATGCCTATAATACTACTCTATGTATCCTAATCATCTAGAATGCTTCTTTTAAGAATGATAATTGGTTATGATTTGAGACATAATACATAAAACTGCACTTTAAATTACTACCTGAAACATTTCAAAAGGCAGTTATGAGTTAGTTATTTTTATCTTATAAGGACTTGCAAATATACACAGCCAAGGGGTGGATTTTGTTGCTGTTATGTGCCACTGAGACACCTGTAACTCATAGTGACCTTATGTTCAACAGCCCTAAACCCTCCTTTATCCTTTGCCAATCATAGTGTCTCTGACACACGTACACCTATTACCCCAGTCACCGAATCAATCCATATCACTGAGAATCTTCTGCACTGTCCCTCCACGTTGCAGACGATAACGTTCCTCTCCAAGGAGTGGATGTAGGATGGAGAAAAGTTACTGTTCATAGTATTTTTTTATGGGAAAAGTTAAGCTTAGAAGCCCAAATCTTATTCAACTTGGGACTAAAATAATTCACTTCATTACATGGCTTAGTTTTCTTAATTTTTCTAACATAGAATAGTTTGACCAAGCAAATAACTTTAAATAAATGACAACATGATTTAACAATGTGGGATTTTATATGCTTCAAAAGAAGCCAATGCTGAAAATGTATGTTCTACTTTGAGTAGATGCATTTTTTTAAAGAGTCTGAATTTGAGAGGAAAGAAAAGAGTTTGTAAATGTACAATTTAAAATCTCATCAAGATTTGTATGGAGCACAAGGGAATAAAATTACTCTTACCTTTCGCACAGGAATTGGACATTCAAGTTGCAACTTATAGCAACCTTGTGAACAGCAGTGAGAATCATTTTTCCTCTTCCATTGTCAATACACTTAAGCCCATTGTTAAAAATCATCATGTCAGTCCCTCTTGTTGAGTGTCTTCCTCTCCTATATTGACTCCTACTTTCAAATGAGTTGTGGGAAGATATCAAGGGTATCATCCAGGAAGAGTGCAAACGGTCATTGCAAAGACAGAAGAGGAAG